CTGTTCCTTTTAACTTGCAAGTTTCTTAGGAGTCTTTTTATTCTTTCTAATAGCCTGCTTTAACTAAAACCCCCTTTTGCCCCCCTTCTCTCTTGATTTATATTTTTTTCATAATCTGAGTCCTTCTTAAAGTGCTTTCTGCATATACTTTGTTGCTTAACCAGTATATCGCCACGTATAAATGCAGCATGCCAGCCTGTAGTCTCTGGCGGTGGTGGTGTTGCAGATGCAAAGTCTGTGCAAATTGACTAATTGTAAATCTCAAAAATCAGATTTGTGCATGTGTTGGAAAAGAAGGGATCTGAAGAAAAAGGTCAAAACTTTCTCACTGGATTGTCCAAAGCTGTGCTCCTCAACCTACGCATGACTGATCTTGCTTTCTGTCCCACGATGTAAATCCATAGTTAATTCTGCTGGTGCTAAATGGCATTCCTTCCTTCCTTCTTACATTGGTGCAAATCAGAGGAAAGGCTCTTGCTGTCATTCCAGGTGGAAGCGATTTGGTTTTCCAGTCTCTGAAGCTACCAACCCCTGCCATTTGGGGATGCCTCTGCGGGCTGTTAGCTCGAGGCTTCTTGCTTTGCTTTTTCTGCCACAGGTTTTGCTTACTCTGACTATGATAGGAAACAATCAGTAATTTCTTACTGCCAGGAACTGGGAACTTGGGAAGAATGCGAAACATTTGTCTAAAGGCTGCAGTATGTGCCTGGGCTTTAGCTCTGGAAAGGGTTGATCGGGCGCTTTTTAATCCCCCCTGCGTGCTTTTAAGCTTAGGCACCTTCTTAAGACTTGCTAATACGTCTCACTCAGCCAGCGTCCATACTAGCTGCTGCAACGCCAGAGCAAACTTGCTGCCATCCTGTCAGGGATGAAAACAGGCAAAGTAGAAAACCCGACAGAAAATGAAATATCAATGATCAGATCATTGAACCTGAATCAAGCTTACTTTCCCTGTGACCTGGAAAGCATCAGGCGGATTTTTGGCAGGCTGTCTGGGGAAAAGGATTCCTCCAAGAGGCAACCTCATACTGGGAGCCGAGTTATCGATTAAAGCACGTTTCCCAGCTGGAGTTCGATAAAAGCCCTTCCTGAGAGCCCTTCAGGAGCTGTATGGTATAAAATATCTTTGTATTGGGTTACATTTTCTTAACCTTGTTTATCCTCGGGCTTGTTCGTATGTCTACATGTGAATACTCTGGATATGTGTATTGGATTTGAGGCGGAAGGACCTCTGATACTATAAAATCCTGAATTTAACCGCATGGTGATTGATATGACAGAACGTGTCTTGTCCTGTCACGCTCCAGGCTGAGCTCTATACATGCATAAAATCAGTTGCAATGGGCCCTGAAACTGCAGCATAGAAGTTGTTTGTATTTGTTTATTTATTTTGTGTTCCATTGCTGCATAACCGATCTTCTTTGCCATCACGACCACTTGTAAAACGCCGCTTGTGATTGTGTGCCTACATGCCCGGAGAGTCAAAAGAAACTGGAACTGTAGTGGCAAAACATCCCTCTTGGTTTTCCTCCAGTAGAAGGTCTTTGCGAAGGGGGTGGCAGATGGGAGAGAGTGTTGCAGAGAAGTCCATACCCGAGGCTGTACCCTTCATCTCTTCTGCAAATGGCAGATACATCCTGCGTGCTGTTTGCTTTATTGGTGGAGTCTGTTGTGCAGCAGATGCTCACTTCATATATGCGTGACTTGGAACGGTCATGTTTGTACAGATAACAGAAACAAGACTAGTTATCCCGGTTTTTCCTTTTCTTGCACTGCTGTATTTCTTACTCATTCAAATCAGTTAGCGTTGCTGGCTTCTCACCATCTCAGCCAGGACTTCGCTTGCAGGTGAGGCAGCTTTTTTCTTGGAAATTCAAATTAAACTTCTGCTGGAGGATTCCTTTGGGAGCAGGACCCAAAATGCAGTATTATGAGCGACTGTATTTTCTTACTAGGTTTGCATATAGTTAAACTGCAGCAGCCTAACATTCCTGCACAGGGAAACAGTCCAGTGTGTGGAAGATGCCCTCCTTGAGTTACTGCTTTGATCCTTGGAGCAGAGGCTTGGAGCTGGGTTTATTTGCCACTGCAGAGGCATGGAGTGTTTTTGGACTTGAATGTCCGATGTGGATTCAGACAAGCTTCCTTTAGCACATGCGTGTGTTTCAATAAGCATGTTGTGCTAAAGAGACCAAACCGAACTCTTGCAGAGAAGGTATTCCTCCTAACTAACGCAGAGCCGTGGGTTGGGCTGGGCCGTCGCTAACCTTTCCTTTGCTCCTAGTTGAACGTGAATTTTCCCACCACGTAAAGCGACTGCTGTTCCTTTACTTTATCTCATTCCTACAGGTTAGTGCAAGATGCAACACAAAACAGAAACCAGGGAAATTAACTGCTGGGCCTCAAAATAGACTGAGGCATTTCATTTTTGTTACTTTTGGTATCTCTTTTCCCATTCATCCTGACACCTTCTTGTTTGCGTTGAACTTCTCAGCCTTACTCAAAAGGGAGAAAGTTCATTTTAATCATGCCATACAGATGCAGTGGCTACCTGTAACGGCGTTGGCGGGTCAGCACCAGCAGTGAAGGAAGCAAGAAAGGAGATCTTGTGAGACAAGTAACAAAATAAGACAAACACCAACAGTCTAAAGCTTTGCGTAAAATCAGTTGAGCCCAGGGGACAGAAGGGAAAACTAACATGTAGGGAGAACACCACCATGTTTTTTTCTCATAATTTCTGCATGTCTAAAAAATGTGGCTGAGCTCAATAGGCAGATTGGTCTGGTACCTGACCAAGAGGCAGATCCGCTTTGTTAAATGGGAAATCTGCAGTAGGAGGAAACTTTGGAAAGGTAAGGTTGAAGGAGGCACACTTCAAGGAGCAAGACACTTGGAAGTGGGATCATAACAGGAATGGTTACTGTATATATGGGTTTGAAGGTATAGGTTGATGCAAGTGCCTTGTGAAGAGCTGGGTGTTGGCAGACAGCCTTCGGTAAGAGTCTGCTTGGAAAGGGGTGTCTTCGGCCTGACCCTCTAAGATGGGAATGCACTCACAATGTACATACGTGTCACTTTGTAGCTTACTTTATCTCAAAGTAGGAGCCAAACCCAATCTGAAATTGCCCAACTCTGAGACAATCCGTAATTTCTCCTACAGTTGTGTCCTTGCTATCTGGATTCATGGATTTAAAACGCTGGTTTAGGCAGCGGTACTCTGGGTGGATACCTGGTATCTCACCACTTCCCTTCCAGGAAAAGGAATTGAGCATGTTCCCCAGCATCTTGGCCCCAAGTCTCTCGCCTGTGTTGTGTTAGGTTTTCCCAACGTGCCATCATCAGTTCCATCCTCCTTAGCCCCCTTTTGAGAGCATTAACGCCTCTTTTTGTTGCCGAACCCCTGCTCCCTGCCTCTCCATTCATCCAAGGAAAAAACAAAAAAACCTCTTTGTGCAGTGAGAAGCCGGAGGACACCTCTGCAGCCGGGGCGCCTTTGCTTTGGTGACCTTCAAAATTGAGTACTCCTTGTAGAGGTGGGAAACTTTCAGGTACATTCAAGCCTGCTGTTCCCATCGGGTTTTTTTCCTTTCAGTTGACCTTCTTGAGGCCTTCAGGGATGTAACAGCTGCCTCTTGGGTTGCTTTTTAGGTTGCCTTCCCTTCCTGGTTGCTTTAGTGAGTTGGGCTTGTGAAGTTTTTCATGGGGAGTAGGATTTGTCCTGCTTTGAATAAGTAGTTCGAAAGCCACTGGGCTATTTTATCATTTAGAAAGGGCAATAAAAAAGATTGATATTATTACCATGTATGTAACAGTGCGACTTAAGCTTTTCTTTTGCTTTCTCAGCTTGGTAAGTCTTTTATACAGCAGTGTTCCAGAGCCTGTGCTTTTGTGCAGTTATGGGCACGTTTTCTTCGGCTAATAAATAATAACACCAGGCTTTGCACTCAAGACGTAAAATATAGATGTAAATATTTTGTGAATGTATAACTGTGGCAGGGGCACAGCTCATTCCAGTGTTAGATTATAAATGCAGTTGTTTCAACCAGTTGAAATGGCCGAATTTCTCTGTTTGGAGCAAATTCTATCAGTGCTGTTCTGCTGAAGGTGATTACTTCTAGCAAATCCTGAAAATGTTCTTTATCTTCTTGTTCTGGGAAGAAACGCTGGTGAAAGCTAAATAATTAAGCTCATTATTGAAAACCTGGTTAGTATGATTGGGAAATCGCTCATCCACCAGATTAATAATTGAGATTAACTTTTTGCCCAGGCTATCTAAATGTCTTTGTGTGAAGGATAATGGGAACCACAGGAGTTGTACTGCTGAGAATGACATGTCTGATTTGAAACCTGATAGTTGAAATAATTAAGGGGTAACTAGACAGCTGTTTAACCCAAGGGCATGTTCAGATGTCTGGCACTGGAGTGTCTCAATGATTTCTGGTTTTGCTTAAGCTCTGAAGGGCTGCAAGTGTTCCATTCTTGAGCAAATTAATAAGTATTTTATACCTAGCTCTAGCATTCCTGCGCTTCTGATCATCTCTTCTGCTTTGTCTCATTATACAAAGACTAACAAAGACCTCCCCAGCATAGGGAGGTGAGAGGGGAAAAACCTGCGGGATTCCTTTTCCCTTTTCTTTTTTTTTTTTTTTTTTTTCCCAAATTTGAGTGTCAGTGGGTCATGTTAAGCTTTTGTGCTTTGGGTAGGGGAGAAAGAACTGCATGCTGTTTTACAGCGGCTCCTCAGGGAGAGCAGCGCCCGGTGGGTGAGGGTGTCCTCAGTCGTCTTAGATGACCATGGCCAGCTGGTGAAGAGCTGCCCCCTAATATCTCTAACTGATAGTGTTACGTGCACGTAAAATTGTGCAGATGCTGTTGCAAGGCTGACCACTGGAACTATGAACCACTAAACTGAGTACCTGACTAATGTTGTCTTTTCTTGTGTTTGGTTTTTTTGCTTTTTTCTCTGTTGCCTTCCTTCCTCCTTTTCCTGCTTAACCCAGAAAAACTGATTGAGGGACTCAAATCTCCTGAGACTGCGCTTCTGCTCCCTGATATCCTGCCTCTCGCTGACCCCTTCGGTAGCACGTCAGACGCTGTGAATGGTAAAAATAAACTCAGGGCGCCTCCTCCCTCTGTCTTACATGGCATGTCTTGTCCCGCATGATAACTCTGCGTGTTTACCCCCACCGGGCTCTCAAAACACCCGCTGATGTTGGTGAAACGCAGTGCGATAGGAAGTTATGGATTATGCTGAGACAGATCTGCCTTTTCCTGGTGAGACTGGCATCCGAACAGCAAAGACTTGGTATTTGCATTTAAAATCTAGACTTAAAGATTTGGCACGATAGCATGGCATGGTTGTGCCTTGTGTGTTCTTCTGGTCTTGGTAGAAGAAAGTTAATTGTCGACTGAAAGAGAAGATGCAAAAAATCCCTCCATTTCTGCTCAAGAGTTCATGTGTAACCATGGCCCAGGCACTGAGCCTGTCTGTCTCTCTGTCCACCCTCAGCAGATGAGGGCAGCGTTGCCCCTGACCCGGGGCGTGTGCTGCGAATGAACGTGCTGCCGTGAGCCCGGATGCAACACGCTCCAGGCAGTATAAAGATTTCAGTGTGTTGCAGAATTGTATTTGGTCTACTTGCCAAATGTACTAAAGACTAATAATTGCAGGCTGCAGTTAGTCGCAATCAGCTGCTTTTGTGGCTCTGGGTCCCAGCCAGGGTCCCCTGGGTAGCTGGTTGCAACCTTGTAGCTTTGAATAGAAAGGTAGGAAATAACTTACCTTAATAGAAAGACTTTTTCTCCCTTTTGCAATTTTTGGCAGTTGTCTGAATACTCTTAGATAATGATCCTGCAAATCACAGACACACACACACGCACACTGCTATGCAAACGAAAAGATTCATGAATGTCTCTTAGGCTGACCAGTTAGACCATTTCTGGTCCTAGCATTTGAGTGCATCCTTATTCTTCAATTTAACTTCTTAGTCATTACCTTGATGTTGGTCCTTGAGGAAGAGACCCAGACAAGCGTTACACCTGGCTGGTATGACAGTGACATGTCTCTCCCCCTCCCCTTTATGGTTTCTATTAAAACAAATCTTTCTATCCAGCCTTTGTAAACATCTTCTTTCGTATCCACAGAATGGACATCAACATTAGACCATACTGGGGACTGGTGTTTTCAATTAAGACATTGAGTTCCAAAACTTTATCGCCTCTCCGTAGTCTTTGCTCCACTGGGCACTCAAAATGAAAAAAAGATCCCACGTCTTGGCTTTTTACATGCTTAACTGGGAATGTGTGAAGGGCTCCGCAGTAGGTGTTTTAATGTTCTGTTACTGCTAATGCAGGGGGACTGCTTAACGGTCAGTGTTTTCCTTTTGCTGGAAAAGGACCTTGCAAAAGCCTGTAGCTGTTTGCCCGGCCCCGGGCCTTCCGCTCAGCTGTGGGGCAGGCGTTACCCTCCCGTTCCACCCTCTGGGTATTTCAAATTGGGCTTCCACAAATTAAAAGAAAGAACAAAAAAACCCAACCCAACCTGCCCACAGGAAAACTCAAACTCAACAAACACTGATGTGTTACAGTCTTCTCTTGTGATTAAATTATCGTTGGTCTGACTTCAGCCTCTTGTTGCTGCCAGTGTAGCTGACACCTATTAAAGGGTCACTAAAGGATTCAGACAACTGCCGCCTTAGTTCCTACTTGTGCTGTGTCTTGCGAACTAACCTCTGGCTTCTTCTCTGCTCTGGTATTTTGCACATTTGGAAAGGAAAACCTGACGTAGCTGTTGAGAGTCTCATACCGGGCCTCGAGGCTCCGTTGCCCCAACGCCTTGTGTCGCAGACCGAGTCGGTCGCCTCCAACAGAACAGGTTGGTGAGGCAGGAGGGTGTTGGGGGGACAGGGATGCATCGTACCGGTGGGCTCTGTAAATCCAAAAGCACTATCTGCTTGAACATGAGCATCTCTGCTGCTTTGCCCACCAGTGTAAACTGGGCTTGCTTGTGTGTCTTGTGAGTGGACGCTGCATGGTTCCTTGAAGGTCAATGTTACTGCACGGTGTTCCTTCAGCCCACCCTTTCAGACCTGCAGGTGCCAGAGCGTTGCTCCGATGAAGTGCTTTGGCAATCTGCAGCAGTCATGGATTTCTGTCTGTCCCATTGGGGCATGGTAGTAAGCAATTCACGTCCCTTCTTACTGTCAGGGCCTTGATCTGGCCACTTTTGCAGCAGATGGACTCGACCTTACGTCAGAGGTCTCTGGTGAAATAGGCAGTGCGCATTGTTTCGCCAGAGAGTCCCTGCAACGCTCCCTTCCTCCCCACGCTCCCCTTCACTCCCCCTCTATAACCTGTCTCTTGTGGGGGATTTTGTTGCACGCTCAGCTTCAGAGAGCAGTTAGCCCCGGAGAATGTGTTATGTGTTGCTAAAGGTGTTGGGAATCCCTCTGCCCTCACTGCAGAGCAGTAAGGAATGCTTTCCAGCACCAAAAATGGTAGCTTTTGTGTCGGCTTTGCATCAAAGCTCTGTTTGTACACTAAGCGGACGGGAAGAGGAATGTGAGAATGAGCTTAACGGTGTTTGTGTCCTGTTTAATGCTACCGTGCGGCCTCTGGATTAACCTGGATTCAGACTCTCTCACTGGGGAAGACTCTCTGCTTGACTGTTCTCTGCTTTCTAACCCTGCCGCTGACCTCTTGGATGAGTTTGCTCCCGTAGCTTTCGCAGCTCAACCTCACACAGGTAAACTGACCTTCTGTCTCTAACACCTAATCAGTCCCGGGACGCGGTCTTTAGCTGTCCTGAAGTGAAGCCCATACCGGTTTATACAAGCAGATGCTCTCACCCATTTTCTGGTGGTGTTTTTTTCCCCCCAAGCCATTGTTTTGTTTTCTCCCCAAGCTGGTGAAACTTGAAATGCACGTTGAAAGTACTAAGGGGAAAAATACAGATAAAAGTATTCAGCTTGACTGCAAAGCCCAGGTTTGCCAAGACAGATGGCATCTTCCATGAGACGGGGATACAGCAGAAGGGATCCGGCAGGCTTAAAGGGTGGGCTGTTGCGTGCAACCCTTCTTCAGGTTTGTAAGCGAACGCGTTCTGGCTTTGCTTTTTTATGCCTGGTTTTATGCCGCATTATTCATTCTGGAAGGGAGTCTGATAATCATCTCTGCTGGTGTCAGAAGTCTTTGACATGAGAGGCTTCTTTTTTTTTTTTTGGTTAGTTAGAGTTAGCATCCGAGGCGTGTGACTGAGCTCCTTCCCATCTAGAGAATGTTTTCCTTTTCAGAGGTTATCAGGAGAGAGTTCTTGAGTCAAACTGCAGTGGCACAGCAAATAGGAATGAAAGTCTGAAGTGCAATATCCAACTGAAAATTAGAAGGGTTTCATAATAACACAAAAAAGCAGAGCTGAAGAAGAGAAGCAGACAGAGTGTGGCAATTCCTGAGAGCTGCAGACCAGCCCTTGCAGTACGTCGGCATTTGAGCTTGAGTGGAATTGTGGAAATACTGTGCAGCAATGAGAGTTCTGTTGTCTTGCTGCTAACAAGCGAGAATAGAAGACCTGGGGAAGCCGGGCCCTAACTCAGATGGCTTTTTTTTTTTTTTTTTATTTTTAATTTCCCGAGCTGCAGAGCACCCAGCTGAAATCTGGCCCTTCTCTGCGCAGCGTGGCTGGAGCGGTGGCGCTGGAGTGGTTTGCAGAGCTATCGGCTGCGGTGCGCCTTGCCCGTGAATTTTCCTGCTCTGTTCTTGCACAGCCCTATTACGGGCTAAAGCAGTTGCGAGCAGTGCTTGTGTCCCTCGGGGACAACGCCACATTTTAGCGGATGACTCTGACATAAGCCAAGCTTGTAGTGAACATTGGGCAGTACGCATACACCTGGGTGAGAGGGAAGACTGGGATTTCTGTGCTATTTATTGCCTTAAAAAGTGGCCCAGAGCACAAATGCTACCTACAGGGTGCCCCTTGCCGATGGGTTTTGCTTATCTCGTTTGGGAAGTATCCCTGTAGCAACAGAAAATGATCTGTCCTCAGAGGAATCGCTGTAAAAACAGTCTGTAATCAATTTTTACACTTGATGGCACTTCAAAATGAGTTTGTGTTTTTCATAGAGCTTTTGGGTTTAAACAAGCAGTTGTTCTAATTGCTCGTTGCTATAATATACTTCCATGCCACTTTATTTTGAGTAAATGGCTTGAAATGTATGTCGAGCGGTTATTACTCCGTGTCTGGAACGCAGCAAAGCCCAAACATTGTCGGTGTGACTTAATGAGAAAATGAATTAACAGCCTCCTGCCTGCCTTCTCCCAGGCTGCCCTGCTCTTCCCTCTGGGATGAGAAGGGCTCACGTTTGATGAGGAAAACGAGACTTCTATTGGGGGTGGTGGGGCAAAATATTAAAATCTTCCAAAACTCATTTGTGGCTTCTCTTCCAACCCTGCTTTTATAGCTCTGGGTGTGGTCGTTAGCTGTACATCTGCCTCAATCTTTTCTTTTTATTCTCTTTCTTTATCCAATCTGGCTTTGGTGACGGAAAGCTCCCGTGGGGCAGCTGCTGCGCTCCGTGGGTGCAATCAGCCTGTGGAACCGCGACGCTGCAAGTTGTCAGCGGGGCCGGGAGGAGTTGAGAAAGCAGCGGTGGTCGGGGCAGGGTTGGTGCTCCTTGCCTCCGTCCTTCACTGGGCTGTTCTCTGGCCTCTGAATTTTTGCTCAGCCTTCGGGATTCCTTAATGTGCATTTGGATACGGCACCGAGCTGCATGTATGGGGAGAATTTTTCTACTTACGGTGATATATAGTCACTGTGGTGAGCTCAAGCGCTTCTGAAGGAGTTTTGCCCAAATAGGGACACTCGCCGGCCTTTCCCTCTCCTTGGGAAAGACAGCCCGTAGTTGGGCAGTGCTCCTTCAGCAGCTCTTGTACAGCCACCGGAGCTGCGAGCAGCCGTGTGCGTGAAGGCAGTGGAAAGGAAATCGGATGCTGGCACAGGCTCCCAGGTGGGCTGCGAAGAGCCACCAATAAATAACTCCAGAGACAGAGCGATGACAAGATGAGACTTTCCGTTACGGTGAAACGTCTTTGTGGGTTTTGACACTGTACAGGATAGTCTTCTATAAAATTCGTTGTGTTTTTTTTTTTCTGGGTCTGATGCTCCAGAGGGGACAGCGTATTTCCACAAGTGGTTTCTTGCATCACCTCGCACAAAACCTGTGAGCGCATTTGTCAGCTTTAGGTAAAGAGCTATTACTCACGGTAGGAGTCAAACAGGAATGTTCCTGTTCCTTGGAAACCGGTGACTTGTACACGTCCTTGCCAGGCTTTCAGAAATATTTCATGTTGTAATTGAGGACCTGATTTTGGAAGGTATTTGAGGTATCTAAAGTAACAGTGATGCACAGCACGAGTGTGAAAGTCCCTAAAGGTATGTAATTGCCCGATAAGGCAGATAGATATCTCATCCACTGTGGAGATTGTTGAAAGTGTCAAACTGCAGTTGACGTGGTTTGAAATCAATGGAATTATGTGCCAGAACTGCTCTGGGGGCCTTTAAAAAAAAATATCTCCCTCGGTATCTGGTTTCAGGTGTTTAAACTCCTTGGAAACCTGACTTCATATTGCACTTCTTGTTTTATCACCGTAGGTGAAAGCTCAGGGGTTTTGTCTCACGGAGATGACTGGAATTTCTTCTGTGTGGTTTTTTTTTTTTTTTTCCTCAGCCCTTTTCTTCTCGCTGTGCGTGAGAGCGGGTAACTGGAGAGCCAGATTGCGCTCTCAAACTGTGCTAATGCCTGACAGCCACTGGACGATGACAAAGAATACCTTCTGTCCTCGGGAACTTTAAGCCCCAGGCTTTTACCACAGCTTTGAACTATGCCAATGGTTAAGCCTTCAGATCGGCCGAATTTGATTCTGGTTCTCGTGACTTGGCTTGCTCTCAGATTTATTTCCACACAACCCCTCCGCTTTTGTATTTAATTGGCTCTCTTGCTTCTTGCCTTCTTTACCAAAGACTTACCAACTTTGTTTCACCTTTTAAATGAAACTCCTGCTTCTAAACCCTGTCTCCGAAAACGTAAAGAGGTTCTAACGCTTTTGTAGCAATTCTAACCAGACTCTCTGCTATCTTTGCTTCTTTTCCTTTTTGCTTTTTCTCCTTTATGCTGCAGAAGATACTAACCTGATATCAGGCTTTGATGCTCCTGAGGGCTCTGAAAAAGTGACAGAAGATGAGTTTGACCCAATTCCAGTGTTGATATCCAAAAATTCACAAGGTAAGCCAGGATTTGGGGGTGCAAAAGGGAAGGAAAAAAGGAAGAGTTCTGGGGCAGTGGTGCTGCAGCACATGTGAAGTAATTAAAATCGTAAACTGGAAGATACTGTCCTTGTAGTATTTAGTGAGCTTAGTCTTTCTCTGATTTACACCGGCCTTGAAATTTCCCTAAATTCTCTTTGTGAGAAGATTGCATGTCCAAAAAGATAACAGACATGCAAGCTTCTTTGGGTCCCAGGAAGTAATTTCTATCAGTCCGCCAGGCAGGGCACACAGACACCGCTGTGGCTGAAGTGCAATGGAGAACTGTGTTCTCTGACGGTCTTATTTAGCGTACAAGGCAATGGAAGGAAGTCCTTTGACTTTTAAATGAACTTGGCATGAGGTGCAAGAAAGGGGGATGATGGTGATAATCCTTTATAAAAACCTGCTGAAAGTGAGTTTATTCCCTTCCGACTCATGTCTTTCAAAGGTGCTTGTGGGAACTGAGCGTGAGAAGTTTGGTAGATGGTACCCACCTCCTTTGAAGAACTTGGAGCAGTCAGAATCCTTAGGACAGGGACTGGAAAGTTTCTCCTTTTACAGCATTCCTGTTGCCTAGATCACGTTAACGCGGGGTCTTTCCTAGGGTTGAGTCTAAGAAGCCGCACTGTTTCCTTAGAAGAAGTAACAGTGCTGCATTTTGTAGCTCTTGTAGGGACAGAAGCGGGCAGCGTTTTGCAGCCTGGTCAGTCAAATTGAGCTCTCTGCAGTCACGCCGGGGAAAAGTTTTGATTAGAGCTTCCAATATGCTAGCGTAGGTCTAAAAACATACTTTAGGGCTCCCTTTTTTTTGGGGGTGGGGGGGGGTGGGTGTTTTCTTGTTGTTTTGGCTTTTTTTTCTTTTTTCATTTGCTGGTGGAACTTTTTTGACTTCCCTAACTCCCATTTTTGTTTACAGCAGGCATGTGCTGTACCC